GCTGTCATGAAAAGATGTGTAACGGTTCTATAACAAATTACTGTATTCTAGTTTCTTTACAAGGATTAATAATTCAGAACATTCAAAACTTTAAATTTTTTACTTGAGGAAATGGTGCTTTTTTTTTCTTTTAATAGTCAAACAAAGGTGGCAGGAGCTGGTAATGGGAGCAGCGGGAATAGCAGAGAACTTCCTTAATTGAGAAGGGAGCCTTGCAGGGTCATGATGAGATGCTTAGCAAAGAAGGGAATCTGAGAACCCTTCTTCCATCCGAGGACCACGATGGAAGGCCTGTCCTAGGAGCAGGGCAGGAGAGAAGAACGTGTTAAAACTTTGTGTTTAGTCACTGTTAGAGAGATTACGATCAGTAATGAGGGAAACTGTCAGTTAAAAAGAAGTAATCAGAGGCTGGCCTGCTGATGAAGTGGCATAGATGTTCATTCAGGGACAATCTTCCTCGCCAAAAAGAAAGAAAGAAAGAAAGAAACCCTGTTTCTTCCTTTTGTCATTCATTCATAAAACATTTTTTGAGCACCCACAATATACCAGGCACTGCCTGAGGGATATAGAGATGAGTAAGAAATATTTTCTTTGCTTGGCCCACTCATAAAATAGCTCAGGGGACAGCTGGAGGATAACTGGTTGCCACACTGTGAGAAAAATTCTCTAATATACTGCTCTTAAAGTGTAACTGTATCACACAGTGGGGCTCCACCAGCTCTGAACCAGTTTCACGGAGGAGGAGGTGTGAGTTGGATCTGAAAAGACGCAAGATGCTGTGCACAAGGCCAACGTCATAGGATACATAAAACTGGTTGTTTTAAGAGTCCAAATTAATCATATAGGGGAAGCTATTTACATAAACATATCAGTTACGAAGGCTTAAGCTGCAAGTAACAAAAACCGAGACACAAAATTGTTTAAATAATAATGGAACTTATTAAGTCACATAAAAATTCCAGAAAAAAAGTGGTCTTCAGTTGCTCCCCACTTTCCACTCTGCCATCTTCGGTTTGGCTTCCTCTTTGAGTTGATAACACAGTGGCTGCAGCAGTCCTAAACATCATTTATTAGTGTCCTCCAGTCCATTTAAGTCGATTCTGATTCTTTGCGCCCCTGTGTACAGCAAAGCAGAACCCTGTCCGGTCTTTCTGCGCCATCCTCTCACCTTCCAGTGCCGTATCAGACAATGCTCCATTGCTGGTCATAGGGTTTTCATGGTCAATTTTTTTGGAAGTGGTGGCCAAGTCGTTCTTCCTAATCTGTCTTAGTCTGGAAGTTACACTGAAACCTGTCCACCATGGGTGACTCTGCTGGGATTTCAAACACTGGTGGTGCAGCTTTCAGCAACACGCAACCACCACAGTATGATAGTCGACAGATGAGCGGTGTGGTTCCCTGACCAGGAAACAAACCTGGCCTTGGTGGTGAAGAGCAGTGAATCTTAACCACTAGGCCTCCAGGGCTGGCTTCTAAATATTATAGAAGAAAGCAAAACGTGCAGAGGAGAAGAGAGACCATCCCTCTGGCTCTCTCTGAGGGGTGAGGAAATTTTATAGAAGCCAGAAATTTGACTTTCCCTTTTGTCTCATGGGCCAACTGAGTTCTAAAATGGGGCCACCGGATTGATTTCTGAATCAATCAATGGCAAGAGAATTGGGACAAAGATGGTTACACAAATGGGAGACGTTTGTCACACTACCCCACTGGCGGTCATGCATAGCCATGTACGCTTGCTCTTTTAAACAGAGAGTGCATACACATCTAGAACCAGTAAAGCAAGATCCAGTCACTTGCTCTTTATTTGAACGTCACCTCTGAGTACACTGTCAATTGCTAAGGCACTTATTTTGAGCACGTCTCAGTTTTCTATTTCCCCTAGTTTTGCTCATTTTTTGTTCTCCACAGTTTCTTCCAGTTTTGCCTCCCCTGTTTTCCCCTCTAGATATTTTAATAAAAATAGAATGCTATAAAGATATTCCATTACAAATTTCTTCTTTATGTGTTTTCATCAAAAGAAACTCTTTATCTCACTCAAGTTATAACTTTGTGGTGCCAAGACATAAAACTTTTTTTTAAATTTGTTTTTTTCTATGAGAGGTAGTTTGAATAAGTATCTCTTTGAATTGAAGGAATATTTGCCACAGGCGGATAATAGTATAACTATTCTTCTCCTGGTGCCTGGCGCTCTCATCTTCCAGCCTTCTTCAAAACAACAGGAGCTCAAAGCTGTGATATAAATCTACGGCCTCTGAATCTAACCCTTTTTAGTAAATGCAGTACCCGCAAAGCCCACTGCCATTACTTGGGTTGCAGAAGACGATTTCAGAAGTCATTGCACAGAGGTTTGAAAGACCTGCTGCTTTTTTGTTTCTTTTAGAATGCAGATATCAAAACATCATATTTCTCCCTAAAACTTTTCCTCACAATTTCCGGTGCTACCTTTTAATATCAAGATTACTTTGTAAGCCTAAAAGAGGAATTTTCCAAGCATTAGTTCCACCTCCGTTTTAGGGCTTAAATCCCAAAACACTATTCAACGATAATTGTTACTTTTCTTCCCAGTCCACAATTACTCTTGATTAATAACAATGATAACGTTAATAATACCCTACACCTCAGTTCCAACAACTGCAGACGTTTCAGTTACATTAACTACTATCAGTTCATCAACCCTGCAAGGAAGGGAGGGGACGATATTATTTTAATGAAGAGGGGATTCTGGCACTGTGACCTGTCCAAACAAAAAACAGCTGAGGTGGACCACGCAAGGATGTTCTTGTATTAGGTGGGAGAACACCTCAGTCAAGTGTTCATTAGACACTTGTCCAGATATTCCTTTGGAGTTGACTCAGCAGTCATAGTTCAAAAGGCTGTTCTCTTTGAAAAATGTCTCCATTCCACAAGCAATATTTATCAGGTGACTCTTGGGGTGTAAACATCTTTGCTAGAAGCTATAATCATTGACTTAAATTCAACTTCACATGTTAATTTTCTGTTTCTTAATTTGGAGGTAAATAAAATGAGTCAATACTGGTGCCTGGAATCTTTGGTCCTGCTGCTGCCCATTGGCCATTTCAGAGGAGTCACGTGACAAACATGGCTATTAAATTAAGATACTGGGAGCACTGTATTTCCCAGGTTTCTTTGGGTTTTGCTTGTGAGTGCCTCTTCTCAGCAAGCTTTCCATCATGATTGAGCCCTTCTTGGGAACCTGGAAGCTGGTCTCCAGTGAAAATTTTGAAGAATACATGAAACAACTGGGTGAGAAATATCATAACAAGGTTTGGAAACTGGCAATGCATATTGTGATGTGGCTGGGTTTGCATTTTCAATGAATTTTCCTAGAATTCTTTTTTTCTTTTGTGATTCTAGGGCATGTTCATATGAGATTAACAAAGTTTATGTATCTACTTTTGCTTTTTTTAACTATGAGTAATAATTATCTCTTTTTGGAATAATAGGCTCACAGATACTTCCTTCTAGTCATTATCCATATATTTAAGCCCATTTACCCTTTTCAAAAATACTTCATCCTAACACCTCGATAGAGTTTCTTTTTAGCTTGGCCGTTACATCAAATAGCTTTTCCAAGCTTCAAATTTATAGACAGTAAGAACCATCTATAATTAAATTTACCAACTAAATTTGTTTCAAGGTTTTCTTTAAGTTATAACTTCAAAAGAGCAATAGCAACAAACGGAATTTCTAGTTGGTTAATTTTTAGGTTCTGCTATATGTGGGAGATACTGTCAAAGCATTATTTTGAAGAATTTCACACTTTTGATAGGAGAGATGGAACATTTTTCCTTGTGGAATGTCTCAACAGTGGATATTTCTCAGAAGTATAAACCCTATCCATCTTTAGCTCTTAATTGAGTTGATTAAACATCAGTTATAATGGCTCGGTTCTGACAACTAAATTATTCCAGAATGCTAGAAGAATGGTAATTATTTAATATTTAATTAAGCAATTTATAATATTTAATTAAGAGAAAACTTCCTTGCAATAAAAACTGTATAGAAAGTCAAGAATTTTTTTAACCTTACTTTTTTCTTTAACTTGGCAGAAACGACCACTGCATAATAAGAAGTCAATGTGCTTGTAGTGTAATATTTTTTCCTTTTTCATAGTCTGCATTAACTGTCTCAGGGAGTAATAGGGAACATATTTCCCTACCTCTTCATAGATTCACAGACGCACTGTTTAGGGTTTAAATTTGGGAGCATCTAAGAAACTTGGGGCTTATGGTGAGAGTAGCACTTGTTTGCATTGGGAGCTGGGCTTTGGCAGAGGGCAAGAGGGAATGAGCCGAGAACCTGCCATGTACCACTACAACGCTAAGTCCTTTTGTTTAAACTCCCAACACACCTACGAGGTGAGTACTGTAGTCATCCCCGTTTTACTATTGAGAAAGCTGAAGGTTAGAGAAGGGAAATAAGATCCCACGCTAGCATGGACGCCCTGGGTGCAGCCTAGGTTTTAACCACCTCACCGTTCACTCTTCTGTGATCCCCCTAACACTGCTGTTCTGCAGTCGGATGGTCCTGGCAGTTCCACAATCTGGATGTGAAATCAAGTTTGATATGGAAACAGAGAGGGTCAGCTCCTCCGCCCACCTGCTGCAGGAGTCAGGTTTGACAAGGGACCATCCCCAAACTGAACAACGGGGGTCATGCTCTAATAAGCCAGACTGTCCAGTTTGCCTACCTCCTCTTGACTCAGCCACATCTGAATTTAATCTGCAGATAAGAGAGGAGCTTGGACTTCAGAAGTCATATTCTTTTTATTTTGAAAGTTGGATTTCTTGTTTTTTTTTTAAGAAAATAATATGCCGAAGTTCTTGGAAATTAGAAAACTTGTGTTTAAGTCTCAACTCTGCTACCTACCAGACACATCACCTAGGATTGCCCTCTCTGGGACCCTGTGTGCTCATCTCTAAAATGAGGACAATAACACCCTGCATGTTGTTGTAACGCTTCACGAGGTACAGCTCAAGTATCTGATCGCCTGAGAGACACTATACAAATATACGTTTCAGATGAAGCACAAGCGCCTCAAAGATTTTAGATAAAGCACAATAGTCTCAAAAAGTGAATTTAGCTTTCAAAATGTCAAGTATAATTACTAGACATGCCTTCAGGTTGGGAGGGTCTGGCTTAATCCAACTAATACCAAGAGGATTGAGAAATTACGACCCATTATCCAAAACTTCAAGGGGGGGAGGTACGTGCCCTTTTTAAATTGCTTTCCAGAATGATCTTAGCACTTCTTCCTAAATGACTTAAGAAGGTGTGGTGCTTTTTCTGCCTTACAGGAGTGAGTGACACACTCCGGAACCTGGCGGGGTTAGCAAAGCCGAGAATCATTATTAGCGCCGATGGGGCCGTGGTGAACATCAAAACAGAAAGTTCTCTGAAGAACACGGAGATCTCCTTCAAGCTGGGAGAACAATTTGATGAAACCACGGCAGACAACCGGAAAGTAAAAGTAAGAACTAAATCATCCTGATGTTCCACAGTCAGGAGAAGAACTAGACAGCGGTTATGCATGGTTTATTCGTATCTAATTTGATTAATTACCAAGTCACTCTGGGCTTGTTTAGTTCATTAACATTGCACATCTCTAAAGGCAATCCTTTCGCAAATTATTCTGATGGTAAACAGGGCCAAAAAACTCAACATGTTTTCACTTTTTTTCTGATCTCTCTTTGTCATTGTCATATAAAAGAGCATGTAGAAAAGAATAATTATTCACAAATAATTTAGGTATTGTTTGCCCGGGGGAGGGGAGCATAAATTGAATAATCTCTTGAGACTTCTCAGTTTGATGGTATTAAAATATTATTTTGACAAAATTGGTGGTGAGGATTTTGGAGAAAAGAGTTTTAAAATAGAAATTAGAAAGTAGATGCCTGGTCTTATGTAGGTTAGAACGCAGTGAATTGCTATTTCTAACTGATTCCTTTATGCATTTATAGAGCATCATAACATTACATGGTGGCTCAATGATTCATGTCCAAAAATGGCTTGGCAAAAAGACAACAATCAAGAGACAAATTGTAGATGGAAAAATGGTAGTGGTGAGTTTTCTCCAAATTGCATTTTTTAGATGCTCCTATTCGATGCATGCCTTTCAGATTACTCAGTTGCTTTGCATCTTGAATTGAGGGTCTGGGGAAAGAGGGCAGAGCAAGTTTACCTGTCATCTACCTACTCTAATAGATCCCTCTTTGCTTTTAGGAATATACCATAAATAATACCGTCAGCACTCGGATTTATGAAAAAGTGTGAAGAAAGTGTCTACATCAGTGAAAGCCTGGTCACTAGCAGGAAACTGGAACTTGAAGAAGATATGCCTCAGGGTCAGTGATTACAAAAAAATGGCTTAGCATAAATTTGCTCAATAAAACCATCAAATTAAGTGCAGTTTTGGAGCTATGCAATACTGAGGGTTAGTGACAATCTGATAAGTTGGTGAGGCAAGAAGCTACTTGGCTACAGTATTACTGTACGAGCATCGGAGTCCCCTTAGCCTCTGCCCACCTGACTTGCACAGTCCTTGAGTTCCTTCCAGTGGACCCACTCCATTTAGGTCAAGGCATTCTGTCCAAGGGCGCTCTGTTGAAATTCATGTGACCTCAAGGCGGGAGGCGTTAAAATCATTGGAACCTACTTTGGGCAGCACAGATTCCGAAAACCAACACTGCTGACTTTTTATTTTTGCAGAAGGCTGGCCCTGCTTAAAGTAGTTAGCATAAATAGATAGACAGATCGGGGTAGGTAGATAAACAGGGTACAAAAAAGAGCCTGGACATTATACCTTGTGGTTGAATTATTGTAGAAGAACATTGAAAACAATCACTGTTTTATTTATCCACAAACCCATTTAAAATAATCAGGCCAGTGCAACTGTCACCACTGTTTACAACTTAGTCTTTGCAGAATGACGTTATTAAATGCCAGACCTGAATTTCTAGATGCCTAAATAGAATATAATAGTCAGAGCTACACAGAGTCCATTATAGTTTCACTAAGTACTGCTGCTAGGAAGTACTCTCAGGGCTTAGAGCAAAACAGAGTAATATGGGTAAAATTAGAGAGTGAATCCTAAGACACTGATGGTATTTGTAGCAGTTGGAGAAAGAAAAGGAGAAAGAGGAAGAATTAGGCAAATATCATGCTGCACCTTAAATTTAAAAATAGATGGTAATGGGCCAAAAATAAGTCTGGAGAATTGTGTTTAATATGTGCTAAAGTAGACTGGCCACGCAATTTGTCCTCTAAACCAGGTGAGAAGTTGAAAGGGATGCTATCGATAACTGCACCTGGACAACAGGCACACCATGGGACTGTCCATCGCAAACGGAGGCGTATGGTCACCTCAGGAAGGATGAAATTGAAGGGTGATTTAGAAAAAGACTGAGCACAGGGTTGAGGCAAGAGCTGAATCCCTGGCCAAGGAAAGGAACCAGGGCACTCTTATTAAACTCGGAGACCTCTGAGCATACAGCTGTGCACCTGAGGAGATGGGCTTGGTGGTGGCCACACAGCTGCTGGATGTGGGCAATGACAGTTGTCCCCACATGACTTGTTCCTGTCCTTCCTAAAGGACTCACGTATGTACAAAATAAGGCCATGCGTGCTCTCCAGAAGTCAGAGGACTTCAACCCCCAAGGTAGTGTCTGTTCACAAGGGGAGCACAGGCCACTGCCTCCTTAATCAGAGGACAGTCTCCGTCCACAAGAGGCTGCAGGTGACAGTCCTTTAGCAACACCGTGGATCAGGGGTTGAAGTGCTTTCCTCAACCATTAGGAAGAAGTCTGTACTCTAAAATGCACCAGGCACTTACTCATTTAAATCTTTGGCTCTACAGACGCATAATTAAGAAAAGAATAACACAGTTCTGAATTCTTAAGACTTACTCGACTTCTCATAAATGTCACAGCTCAAAGTACAAAGAGGCTAAATGAGAAAAAAAAATCCTGATGTTGAGTCTTTGGTAGATGGATTCAAACATACTACTCCTGAGGAAAGCATTCATTCAACAAGTTCTTACTTAGCGACCACTGTTTGTTCAATACCATATTGGGGGCTAAGAAATAGCTATGGCTCAGACGTGGAGTTCCCAACTGCCTTGTGATGTTACAAGTAGCAGAGGGCTCTTGAAACTCTATTGCTTTTATTTTTATTCTCAGTAAAATCATGTCAAAATTTCTAAGAAAGAAATTCACTAAAGTTTACACTTATAATCATTAATCTTTCCTAAAGACTTTCACATGATCAGTCTCTCGTCATACGTGACTTGCCTTCAAAAGTCATCATCTGTCTGTATATAAATGACAACAAGGCATATTTGTCAAGTAGTATTGGAAATAATGGAACTTTTCATTGTAGTTGAGCAACAAAAATCCATTATTTATTCACTTTCCCAAAAGTTTTGAAATAAAGGGAATGAGAGTCGTTTTTATAAGCCACACAGAAAATAGATTTTATTTTTGAAAATTTTAGACTGAATAACTTAGTAGTAAACCATTATATTTCAAATCCACACTAAAGTTTGTAGGAAAGTATTAATTATCCAAAGATTAATCATACTAAAACCATGATTAGTTCTATTATCAAAGAATAATTCACTAGATTTCTTTTTTTGCTATCCAATACTATTTAGTACATCACTGACAAAAAATAAGTTATTTTGAATAGTCTTAGTGTATCTAATATTTCATACTTTTTGCACAAAAATGCAATAAACATAAAAGGACATGCTTTTCTTTGCTGGCCATAAAAAGACAACTGACTATCCAAAGACAGTAACCAAAAATAGATGGAAAATTAGGATGAAGTATTAGGACATAATCTAATCCCCAAGTTACAGGTTCTTAAGATTTCTTCTTTGAACATTTAGAGGAAAATATAGTCTGTCCTTTTGGAAGTTTGGTATCTAGATCCCGAGTAAATTTTGGAGAGGGGCAAGATGGGGAGCGACTAGCCATCCACCAGCCCCATGGTAGAATGGGACTTTGTTGCCCCGGAGACACACTGCAGGAGAGTGGACTGAATGGGGTTTGAGAACCAGTCCTAGCAGGACTTGAATCCCACTTCTGCCATTGACAGCTATGTGAGCATGCATGAGCAGCTTAACCACTTCAGTTTTCTCCTTTGCAAAATAAAGATTGTCTACATCACAGCGTTGTGGTGAGGGTAAATGAGACCTTATGCAATGGACCAGCACAAGGAATTTGTCATGTCTTCTCGTGTTTCCCACATCTCCCTCCCAGATTACAGGCACACCTCAGAGATACTGTGGATTCAGTTCCAGATCACCACAATAAAGCTAATGTCACAACAAAGCTAGTCACATTAATTTTTTGGTTTCCCAGTACATTTAAAAGTTATGTTTACACTATACTGTAGTCTATTAAGTGTGTAATAGTATTACGTCTAAAAAAAATGTACACACCTTAATTAAAAGACACTTTATTGCTAAAAAATGCTAACTATTCTGTGAGCCTTCAATGAGTCATAACTTATTTTCTGAGAGATGTTGATGGCTGCTGACTGATCAGGGTGGTGGTAGCTAATGAAGTTTGCTGCACCGTTTGACTCTTCCTTTCATGAACAAGTTCTCTGTAGCATGCAGTGCTGTTTCATGACATTTTACCCACGGTAGAATTTCTTTCAAAATTGGAGTCAGTCCTCTCAAACCCTGCTGCTCCTTTCTCAACTAAGTTTATGTCATATTCTAAATCCTCTGTTGTCATTTCAGCAATCTTCACAGCATCTTCACCAGGAGTAAATTGTATCTCAAGAGACCGCTTTCTTTGCTCATCCATAAGAAGCAACTCCTCATTCATTAAAGCTTGATCATGAGATGGCAGCCATTCAGCCACATCTTCAGGCTCCACTTCTAATTCTAGTTCTCTTGCTATTTCCACCACATCTGCAGTTACTTCCTCCACTGAAGTCTTGAATTCCTCATTCATGAAGGTTGGAATCAATTTCTTCCAAACTCCCATTAATGTTGATATTTTGACCTCTTCCCGTGAATCACTAATGTTCTTAATGGCATCTACAATGGTGAATCCTTTCCAGAAGGTTTTCAATTTACTTTGCCCAGATCCATTGGAGGAATCACTGTCAATGGAAGCTACAGGCTTACAAAATGTATCTCTTAAATAATGTCTTAAAATTCAAAATTACTCCTTGATCCATGGGCTGAAGAATGGATGCTGTGTTAGCAGACATGAAAACAACATTAATCTCATTGTACATCTCCATCAGAGCTCTTGGTTGACCATGCGCATTGTCAATGAGCAGTAATATTTTGAAAGGAACCTTTTTTTTCTGAGCAATAGGTTTCAACAGTGGGCCTACAATATTCAGTAAACCATGTTGTAAACAGATGTGCTGTCATCCGGGCTCTGTTTTCCCATTTATAGAGCACAGGCAGAATCTATCTAGCATAATTCTCAAGGGCCCTAGGATTTTCAGAATGGTAAATGAGCATTGGCTTCCCCCTACAGTCACCAGCTGCATTAGCCCCTAACAAGAGAGTCAGCCTGTGCTTTGAAGCTTTGAAGCCAGGCATTGAGTTCTCCTCTCTAGCTGTGAAAGTCCAAGATGGCATCTTCTTCCAACAGAAGGCTGTTTCATCTACATTGAGAATCTGTTGTTTAGTGTAGCACCCTTCTTTATTGATCTCAGCTAGGTCTTCTGCTTGCCGCTTCACTTTGAGCTTTTATGTTATGGAGATGGCTTCTTTCCTTAAACCTCATGAACCACTACTGGCTTCACACTTAGCTTCTGCAGCTTCCTCTTCTCTCTCAGCCTTCGCAGAACTGAAGAGAGTTAGGGCCTTGCACTGGCTTAGGCTTTGGCTTAAGGGAATGTTGTAGCTGGTTTGAGCCTCTATCCAGACCACTAAAACTCTCTCCAAGTGAGTAACAAGGCTGTTTCACTTTCTTATCATTCGAGTGTTCACTAGAGTAATACTTCTAATTTCCATCAAGAACTTCTCCTTTGCATTCGCAACTTGGCTAACTGGCACAAGAGGCATGGCTTTCAGCTTATCTCAGCCTTCAACGTGCCTTCCTCACTAGGCTTAATCATTTCTAGCTTTTGACTTAAATTGAGAGATGTGTGACTCTTCCATTCCCTTGAATACTTAGAGGCCACTGTAGGGTTGTTAATTGGCCTAATTTCAGTACCGTGGTGTCTCAAGGAATAAGGAGGCCCAAGGCGAGGAGAGAGATGGGAAACAGCCAGTCAGAGCAACAGTCAGAACTCACACAACATTTATTGATTCAGTTCACTGTCTTATATGGGTGCCCCCAAACAGTTATAACAGTAAAATCAAAGATCGCTGATCACAGATCATCATAACAAATATAATACTAATGAAAAAGCTTGAAATATTGTGAGAAATACCAAAATGTGTCACAGAGACACTAAGTGAGCAAATGCTTTCGGAAAAATGGCGCTGATGACTTGCTTGATGCAGGGTTGCCACAAACCTTCCGTTTGTAAGAAATGCAATATCTGCGAAGTGCAATAAAGCGAAGCACAATAAAACTAGGCACCCTGTATAGGGCAACTGGAATGCAAAGAATAGGAACAACGTAACTGGAGGGCCGGTGCACGAAACCAGAGGGCAGAACAAGGTGGAGCAAAGGGCGTCTCCGCAGAGATAAGCTTTGAACAGGGTCTTGAAGCAACTAATTAGTTAAAAATGGGCTTTGAGGAAAATGAGCAGGAAAAATGGATTCTGGTTTACTTTGTAAAATAGGGTTCAGATTTCAGTAGATGCTCATTAAAAGTAATGCCTTTCAATATATAAGTTACAAAGCAATTTCACAAAGTGAAATATGTAAATTATACTTTCTCTCAAAGCCTTGATACCATCTCAATTATTGAAAAAAATTTGTAAGACATAATCAAGGAAATGAAGCAAGAAAGACAGGAGGCTCCCTGGATAGCACATGATTAGAAAATCACCTGAATTTTTATGAGTTTATATCTGTTCCTTATGAAATAAAGCTAAACACATGCACACTTTTCACTATGCTTTGCAAGTGAATTATTTTTAAGGGTTTCCTCTCTTCCATCAGCTGTAAAGGAGCAGGTGGCTGAGTCCTAAAAAGCATTTCCTACAGCTCTGTGTGCTAATGCCTGAAAAGTAGAGCCTACTTTAAAGCTGTTAATGGCACTTTCTCTCTAAGAGGAAATGCAAATGGAATAGAAAAACTGTGGCCAGCTCAGTATACGCTATAATGACTGGAGAAAGAAACTGAAATGCAGAAATTCAGTCCTCCATTTCCTCCCCAGTGAATGAGTAACTTCCATTCTCAGGTGTTCTATTAGGAATAATGATTTGAAATCTTAGACTAGACATTGGAAAAGACACCATGTACATTAGAGCCTAGTAAAAACAAAGCTAATTGCATTGTTTGCAGAAATCGCAACTACTTCTTCCCTCTCTTTATTACCATTCAACAAAAGAAAAGCTATTAACTACCTTTGGGCAGCGTAAATGCAACTGTCACCATAGTAACCAAAAGATCAAATATTCACTGGTGGCTAAGAAAGTTACAAGAAACGGTTTTCATTAAGAAGGAAACTTTTTGTATTCTCAGCATTGTTAAACTTAGAGAAAAACATTTATTTGAAACATGAAAGCAGAGGATGTCAAGCCTGAAATGCCATTGTCATCCTCTGTCAAATAGCAGTCTATGCTTTCTCCTAGTGCCTGAGTCCTGAAGATAAATCAGATCATCAGTCTCATGGCATCTGGTATCTAAGAAACCCCATAACATATCTTCCTATAGTAGTGGTTAATTGGCTTTTTAATGGCATTCTATCTCCATCTGCAAATGATAAAAAATAATAATTGGATATTCTAGATGTTCTACCATGTCTCTGAATGTTTTTTTAATGTCCACCTTCCTAACCAGAGTATAAGGTCCATGAGGGCAGAAATCGTTTCTGTTTCATGCTCCATGTTATTCCAGTGTTACCACAGTTAAATAAATTCATGCTAATTGTCTGCAGTAATGCAGGTGAGAATATATACAATGAATCGTGGAATTATCTTATTGCCCTTTCCTGGTGTTACAATAAGATCATGTCATCTCAAACAGGGAAAGAACCACCTGCTTTTACCAGCAGCTAAAGAAATGACCAGATAAAGGAATGAGTCTTATAACTAAGTTTCATACTTAGGTATGACTCACAGTCTTTGCTCTTTCCGTGCCTCCAGAGAAGAAAAGAAGGAAGGAAGAGAAGGGAGAAGAGAGGAGGAAGTTTAGGAGAATAATAATATTATTGATCATAAGTAGTAATTTTAGATGCTTTACTAATATTTATTATCTGATTTAATGCAAACAATAAACCTCATAAGTAGAAATTTTTATTTTGTCTTCATTCGTTCAGTCAGTCAACAAATGATTACCTACTGTGTACATGCTTGGTGTTAAGTACTTGGGACAAACACTACATGGGTAAAATGCCATGTTGTCCCCACTCACTCAAGACTTTAGTGTTTGATATACATATTGATCAAATAACATGCAAAATTAATAAAAATGGCCATTGCAGTAACTATTAAGTGATGATATACTAGAAAAGGTTAAGAAAGATGATCGAGTTGAAACCTAAAGGATGTCAACACAAAGGTAAGAAAGAATGATTGAGCTGAGATTTAAGGATTAAGCATATGGGAGTGGTTGGTAATGCTAGTTGGAAATTGCTACCTTCTTTCCTACTCTCTGGAAGATTTTCTGTAAGATCGGTGTTACCTTTTTCCTTAAATATTTGTAAGAATTCATTGGTGAGGCCTACAGTTCTAAAGTATCTTTGTGGGAGAAATTTTAATTACAGATTCAACGTTGACAGATTTGAGAATATTCACACTTTTTACATCTTTTATTATTTTTGGTAAGCTGTGTTTTCTAGTGAACTTATAAATTTCTTTTAAATTTTCAAATTTATTGGCATGAAGTAGTACTTAATATTTTCTTACGATTTAAAAATAACTATAGGATATATCAATACAATCTTTTTTATTCTTGCAATCCATAACTTTCACCTTTTCTATTTTTATATCCATCTTGCTAAGATTTTGTCAATTTTATTAGTCTTTAAAAAACTTGTTTTGATGATGTTTTTTGTAATATGCTTGTTTTTATTTTATTAATATCTGCTCTGTTGATCATCTGTTTCTGTTGTCTATTGTTCCTTTTGCTTTTTTTTTTTTTTTTTTGAGGAAGATTAGCACTCAGCTAACTACTGCCAGTCCTCCTCTTTTTGCTGAGGAAGACTGGCCCTGAGCTAACATCCATGCCCATCTTCCTCTGCTTTATATGTGGGATGCCTACCACAGCATGGCGTGCCAAGCGGTGCCATGTCCGCACCCGGGATCCGAACCAGTGAACCCCGGGCCGCTGAGAAGTGGAACATGCTAACTTAACCGCTGCGCCACCGGGCCGGCCCCTGTTCCTTTTGCTTTTTGAGCATATTTTCCTGTCTCTTCTTTTTCTATTTATTTTTGATTGGCAATGTGTATGGAAAATTGTAGACATAAATTTAGACCTCGGGTGGCATTATCTTCTTTTGGAGAGAGTTTATGCTGATTCTGACTGGTAGCTGGGTTCACCAGCTGTCCAAGATCACACTAAACTAATTTTAAGAATTGAATTGATATTAGCACGGGGCTACTCCCAGTTCATCTTTTCTCCTATGTTGTAGCCTTTCAAAATCTCAAACAAAAGTGTAGTGGTCGATCAGAACTCTCCATCATTGTCCCCTAACCCTTAACTCTGTCATAAATCTTCCTCAGACTTTTGCCCTTCACTGGCCTCTTTCTGAATTCGTAGATCCCTAGAGGGGCAGCAGCCTCAAATATTGGGCCTGTTTCTCTGGGCTTTCTTTTTTCACCCAAATCCTAGACCCTTAATTTTCTCTGCCTTTTTCTCTCTCTGATGCCTTGAAGAATTTTTTTCAAACTTCATCCATCTTTTCTAGTTGTCGCAGTTGGGAAGCTAGCTTAATTTCCTCATCTATAAATATTCTAAGAATAAAAATTTTAAGCTTCACTTTTATTTTCTCAATTATTTTTTTTAAATAGCCATTTTTATTGGTTAATCCTCCTAGTATTACATGGTAAGCTTGTCCAGCCACCAGTTATTATCAAATGTGTCTATTTTACAAATAAATTCAGACTCACTAGGATTAAAATTTCTTGCTTCAAATTTTTATCAGATCATGAGTAGAATGTAAGTTCCATGAGAACATGAAATTTTGTTCAATGATGTTTCCCCAGAACCTTGAAGAGTTCCGAGCACTTCGTGGGTTCTCAATACTTTTGCAATTAAATGGATGAAAGGCATGGACTCAGATTTTGGCATTTAAGTGGAGAACCATGAATTCTTTGTTTATGTGCTACAGGATGGTTGATTATAGCTTTTCCAAATACACAGTTGGATGTAGCTTGAAGATAATTTGTAAAGGATATTTACATGATGTCTTATATAGAGCGAGCTTTCCTTATCTATTTTGGTTGGACCTCTGGATGTTCTTTTCACTGTGTGGTTCAAGTAGCTTCTTTTATCTTGAGAATTTACATAGGCAATAAATCAGTGAAAGGTGAACCCATACTGTTGAGAGACTATGTCCATTTTATGAACATATAGTTCAAGTCTAAATATATGTGCCCAGTTATAATGTTTATTATCCATCCTTCCTCACTAGGATATTGATGACTTTCTTAGCAAGGAGTGACTTAGCATCTCAAGCCTGGTTCAGTCTGGATCTTGTCTCGTTGCTTTGATCTGTGCCTTCGATTCACATATGGGCCTCAGAATTTCATCTTGGTCCAAATACATCTGGTCAGTTCCAGGAGTCAGGTACATTGCTGGTAAGTCTCAAATAAAAAATTCCTTTCTTTGTCTAAAATTGCTTCAAAGTTATAAGATTTGCCAATGTATATCTCAACGTTTACATATTTTTCTCTAAAAGTAGATTTAGTATGCTTTTTGTTTGTTTTGTTTTGTTTGCTGGGAAAGATTCACCCCAAGCTAACATCTGTTGCCAATCTTCCCCTTGCCGTTTTTCCTCCCCAAAACCCCAGTACATAGCTGTATATACTCTAGTTGTGAGTCCTTCTAGTTCTTCTACGTGAGCCACGGCCACAGCCTGGCTACTGACAGATGAGTGGTGTGTTTCTACACTCGGGAACCAAATCCAGGCCACTGAAGCAGAGTGTGCCAAACTTTAATGACTAGGCCATCAGGGCTGGCTCTCAACGTTTATGTTTTAAACTCCATGGCTGTTCCTATTTGCAATACAGGGATTACTGAAAATTCATACAGCTCTCCTGTACCAGTCCCTCTGAATACAAGGGCTCAGCTCTAGTGAAAGGTTTGAGAGTCCTTCATAGATTTAGGCAGAACATGTAAATTTTCGTAGGCACAAGTGATAGCATCATTCATTTTAACTAAGTGTTTGGATAAGAAAGTAACACATCCTCTAATGAAAAGCCCTTTCTTTCATAGCTGTTTGTTCTATCCCAGTACAATGTACTCCCTCCAGTTACATTCTCTTGGGTCTAGGATTGGGTTAGCTGGTTAGCTGAGGAGTTTTTCTAGTCATGATTTCATTCCCACTTTGAGTTACCAAGCATGAGTGATGTAAGATGAGACTTGGACCCACTGTACCTGATTCCACATTTTTGACCCAACTTGGACTCAAACCACATAATTGCAATGGTTATGGCATAGCTCTGGCATTGGTAACCCAAGCCCTTGAGGCCAGCAATTATACCCATTGTGAGCCAATTGATCACGGGGTATTTTCATTTTTGTGAAGAGTACCAACCTGTGTACTAAATATATAAAACCTGGTAATATCAGTTGTCTCGTGGCCAGGATTAATGCCAATGTGGAAAACCTCCTGGGAAAATGTATGGCAGCAACTAGCTATTCCCAAGAGCAACACTTATATTTGAAGCGGCTTTACATTTTTTCCCCCTGGTCAAAGGCTGAGCCCTGATGTACTGGAGTAGCTCTGGATGTCTCATCTCTGGATTTTCACCTCTCTTGACTTTGAAGCAGAGAATGACTGTCTCTATCCAGTCATGGGGATGTTAGTATTGCCTGACCTTCAGCCAGGGCCTCTGTGCACGTGTGGCATAGCAGGAGCAGTGTAAGATAACCAACCAGAGTTAGCTACGGGGGAACAATGCCAGGTTCAAATCCTACCTCTCCTTATTCGAGTTTTGGAAGCAAGTTACCTAATCTCCCCCAAGCTCCAGCCTTCTCTTTGGCAAATGGGTATAATAATAGCACCGAACTCTTGGAATTGTTGGAAGGATTAAATGGAATAATCCACATTAAGCACTTAGCACTGTGACTGGTTCATCGTGAGATCTCAATATACATTAGTGTTATTATCATAGAACATTCTTTCTCTTTACAAAACTGTAGATTTGCTTTAAAGGACTTAAACTCAAAGTTATATTAACTAAGAACCTGCTTAATTTGGACGTAAGGTTTTTTTAGCTAGAAATCTTTGCTGCGGTCAAAGAGCGTGCTATAGTTCTATTTCTTGTCCATCCCATGAATACAATTTCTGTGCTCTGTTGTAATAGACTGACTGTATTGTCTGCCTACTCTGCCTGCCTGGGATATGTGAACTATGCCAAGCCTCCCTTACCTATGAATACTTCCTCACACTGCTCCCCTGCATTTCTCTCCCACAACATATTTGAGGCGGTGATCACAATACTCATGGACATTTTCCTCTCTTTTTTCTTTCAGTAAGAATTCTTAATTGTGCAGACTCAGGACTGAGGGTGACCAAGATGCCTAAACACACACACACACACTCACACACATACACACACACACACGCATATTCCTTCATTCGTGCTTATATAATTTAGTTCAGTATAGGACTTAATTTAAGGAATCTTCCAAAGCAGTAAGGACCTAAGTACTTCTTAAAAATGTAAGATTGACCAGAAGGTTTTTAAAGGTTCAAATAGTGCTCTCATTGATTTCTATAAAAATTTTTGGAGACTAAAGGAAACATTATGTGAAGTTTTCTTTTGTCCTAATGGATGATTGAAGAGCCATTCATTGCCCAGTCCTGACACTGCTTTTCTCCATTGGGTCTCTGTGAGAGTCACATGCTTCGGACATCTTTGAAAAGAATCTTCTGAGGCTTCAGCATCTCATTTGTCTTCTGTATCTCACCTAGAACTCTGTTGAATTCTCACCCATCACAATGAGCAACAGATTCCTGGGCACCTGGAAACTTGTCTCCAGTGAGAACTTTGATGACTACATGAAAGCTCTGGGTAAGAGATGTTCTTTGATGTTTGGGTTGAGAAGATCCTTTTTGAGAAAGCTGCATGCCTATTTCCTTCTAACTCTTTTTCCAGGAGTCTGGGAAAATTTGCACAGGCTAAAGTACAATCCTATTCTAGAATTAATCTTCGGTTGTGTCATTCAGAGAGTTTATTTGCATTTTATTCATGGCAATTTTAATATATTTTAACCTAAAGGAGAGTTGCTTAAATGCATGGAACTCCCACCAATTTTAAAAGCAGTTTCATATCAATAGGGCTTTGGTTTCAGACCTGGAGGAAAGAAATCTTAGAAGTTCAGTCTATCCATTCTCTGACTTTCCTGAGAGCTAGTTTTGTAACAACCAAGGTGCTCATGAAATAAAGAGTTGAATTTACTAAAGTTAATAGAAAACCTCAATTTAAAATTTTGATAGTTAGCTAAACCAGAAGTTTTCTCTCTAGACCTCTAGGCTTTCTGTTATTACATAATTATGTAGACAGTTTTTAAAAAGTAAATGCTTCATAAATGAGGATGTTCACAGTCTAGGGAAGTTACACAGAGAAAAAGAACTGGTTTGTGTCAGTGAATTCAAGTCAGTGACACTAACATCAGGCGTTTCTGGAGTTGGAGCAGTGGATGAAGATGGAAAGCCCAGTCATTAATTACATCAACTTTATTTTATACTATTTTAGAGAATGTTCTGTAGATATGAGCAAAACAGGTGTGAAGAGTCTGGAAATTTCCAGATTTGTATAAATATAATAGAGAGTGATGCCAATGACCTCAGGTTGCCATGCTAGTCAGAGTGCCTGTAGCTTTACTCACTTGTTCAGAAAGCTTGTGAGAAAAGTTCTATTTTTAGATAAAATGAATAAAATCACGTCATGTTGCCTAGAAAACTATGAGAATTTATGGGGATAAATCCATACTATGAGATTGGTTAGATTTATGGACTTTACAGCTGAGGAAGAAGCAAAATATAGCAAAATCTCAATGAAAGACTCCCTGGGTCTGTCATTTTCAAATTTTAAAGTGCGTAAAAAGACCTGGGGGTTAGCAAATTCTCAGGCTCTCTGCAGAGATTATAATTTAGTTTGAAATACATTATCCTAAATCATATACAATAACACAAGATTAATCAGAATCAGGAGGAAGAATAGAGTTCACAATTCTTTATTAGCACTGACTCTTCACTTTTTATTTAATATACATATATACACACACACACACACACAAAACTGATACATTTTCTTAGTCTTGGTAGTAGTAGTAGTAATAAAACTTGAGTCTAATTTTGTTTTTCAAATGCATAAATTTTTTTAAAAGTCATTTTATTTATCTATGATCATCTGTAATTGGAGAGATCTTGAAGGGCAATGGATGGTTTTTTCCTACCAGCTATACTTAGGAGCCACAACAAAATTTCAGAAATGAGATTCTATCAAGGATATGGGGGGAGTTATTTTCTATACCCATAATATATTACTGAGAAAAAAATACAAAACAGTGAGTATCTGTCATGGACTCATTTAAATAATCTATAATATCTATATATACAAACTAAAATGTCTAGAAAAATCCATACAAAACTTTAGTGATTTTCAATGGAGTGTGGGATTGGATGTGGTAAAAGTGGGTGATGTGCACTCTTTAGTCTGAACAGTTTTATCTATAAAATCCACAGACATTACTTTCATAATAGCAAAACCTAAAATATTTGAATCCATGGACATGTATTTCCATTAGGTGGTGAAACCTAATTTCCATTAGGTCGTTAGTGGTAAGTGACGCTACCTGCCATCTGCACACCTGAGGCGCAATTGAGCAGGGACTGTGGCCACCCAGAGCCTCTCTAGGTAAGGTTTTTTGGGCAACATAATTCTACCACCATCTTGATTTTCAGGTGTGGGGTTAGCCACCAGAAAACTGGGAAATTTGGCCAAACCCACTGTGATCATCAGCAAGAAAGGAGATGTTATAACTATAAGAACTGAAAGTGCCTTCAAAAATACAGAGATCTCCTTCAAGCTAGGCCGAGAATTTGAAGAAACCACAGCTGACAATAGGAAAGCCAAGGTAAACTTCACTGTTTCTCTTCAAAGTTGGCTCAGTCTACCGCTTGAGAGAGAGGCTTAGTCCTGCTAGTGTTCAAAACGGTGAACTACTCCATTCTGTTGAAAATGAATGTGCCTCATAAGACATGCATTATGAAAACAACTCAATATTGAATGAACTGCTTCTTTAGTCAACCAAAGTCCAAGCAAGTCAATTCTGTGAACTTTTCTTTCCAGAGCACTGTAACCTTGGCAAGAGGTTCACTGAATCAAGTGCAGAAATGGGATGGCAACGAGACAACAATAAAGAGAAAGTTGGTGGATGGGAAAATGGTAGTGGTAAGAGTATTTTCACTTCAACTACAGTAATAGTGCTACTCAAATAGAGAAATTGGTTATATTATTTTCAAAATATTCTTTTTTCTTTGGAATACAAATGGGTCAGAATGGCTAAAAATAAAGTCAAAGTTAATGCCTGGATGATATTTAAACCATAAGGACTCATCTTCAAGTATAGGTCCAAGATTTTGGAAATAACAAAGCCTATTTGTTATTTTGGGAAATCACCACTCCTAAAAATGATAATAAAGAAAGTATGAATAAATCTCACTAGTTTGGATTCACAAAAAGAAAAGCAAATCTAAGTTTTAAAAGCAATTCAATACCCAAAACAAAGGATAATTAAAAAAATAAGAAGGCCAGCCCCAGTGGCCTAGTGGTTAAGCTCAGTGCACTCTGCTTTGGCAGCCCACATTTGGTTCCCCAGCACAGACTTACACCACCTGTCTGTCTGTGGCTGTGCTGTGGCAGCAACCCTCATACAAAAAGAGGGAGATTGGCAGCAGATGCTAGTTCAGGGTGAATCTTCCTCAGTAAAAAAAATGATAATAAATAAGGTATGGTATATTCATATTTGAATATTGTATAGCAATTAAAATCAAGTTTCCAAACAATATTTAAGGACGTGAATGAGCCTTAATACGTCAAAAAAACTGAATGTAATAAAAATCCCATTTGATTCAGAAAAATAAAATAAAAGCAAAACAAACCCTAAAAGGCTCAAGTGTAGAGTATTTGTAGATTTATAAGCATTTTGCTTTCAAGAATCTATACTAACTTAGACTAAACAATGTCAATAATTCAGGTTTGGCAAATTGGAGACCTCTTTTAGCCAGCAGATACGAGTGATGACCAAAGCTACATGAGATGACCTATAATGATTTTTTTAAAGTATTAAGTTCCGTGCTTACTAATTAAACACGTACATGGAATAGAAATAGATTCATATAACATTTTAAATGTTCCTTCCCTTTAGTTCAGAGGTTCCTATCCTTAGCTGCACAATAAATTTACAGGAAGATTAAGTCCCCCTGTGGGGGCCCCAACACAGATCAACTGAATGCACATCTCTTGGGGGAGGAGGGGCCATCATTATTTTTAAATGTTCCCCAGGTAATGCAAAGGCACAGATAGTTTTGAAAACCACTGTTTTAGTAGATTTAAATGCATGCAAATTAAAACTGGCCACTTGAAAAAATTCTTCTGCTGTAACATAGATCAACTTTAAAACCGTTTCTCCTATTTTAACGGTCGTGAATTCTGTACTACTGGAAACTGACACACTGATATTTTATTCCTTTCTAAATTTAATCTTATGAGTTCGCTCTTAATTTCCGTTAATATTACAAATTCGCTGTCCCCTAATTAGAGTTTTAGATGTTCAATTAATCTCTCTCTCTCTTTTTAAGGAATGTAAGATGAAGGACGTGGTTTGTACCAGGGTTTATGAGAAGGTTTGAGAAGATCCTCACTGAAGTGGTATTTGACCATTTGATGTTGGAAGTCAATTGCTTCCGTGCCAAGGCCTCACTACATACTGCAGTTTGCTTGTCTGTTTTTGCTTTTGTCTTAATAGATCCGATAGGCAAAGGCCTAAACTGAGCATTAAGCTAAAATTCAGTGTTATTTAAACATTTTCAATTTGCATGCACATCTTTACTATATTAAAGTATGTATATTGGCCAGTCCTCAATAGTTGATAATGTCGTTTAATTATCTGCGAAATTCTAACCTATGTCGTACTTTGTATATTTGAAATGACAGTAAAAGGAAGTCAGAAGACAGTAGAAGGAAGTAAATATATTGACCTCAAATGCTTTCAGGGGCCAGGAGAATAGGAGGGAGGGGGATCCGAATGAGGCAATCTAGAAGAAGGAGCTGGTTTAAAATGACGAGTTCTAGTTTCAACTAAAAGGTGCAGCCTGTACTATACTCCAGCCAATTCTTTTTAAATTGAGAGCTAATTTACAGACGGTGAAATACACCGATATCAAAGGTAGAGTTCCTTTAATCCATTGCGACAAACGCCTTCACCCATAGAATTCACATCCTGATCGAGATACAGTACATTTCCTTAATCCCAGAATGCTTTCTCTGCTCCTTCCCAGCCAATGTCCTGCCGTGTCCTACCTCCAACCAAAGCAAATGGTGATTTGGTTTCTATCACCACAGGTTAGTTTTGCCTGTTCTCAAACTTCATAGAAATGGAATCATACATTCTGTGTTCTTTTCAGTCTGGCTTTTAAACCTCAGCATGATGTTTTTGAGATTCACCCGTGTTGTTGCATGCAGCAGTAATTTGTTCCTTTTTATTGCTGAGCAGTATTCCATTGCATGAATATATCACAGTTTATTTACCCGTTCTCTTAAGACAACTGGGCTGTTTCCAATTTTTGGCTACTATGAATAAAGCTGCTATAAAATTCTTGTACAAGGCTATTGTGGATATACGAGTTTCTTTCTTTTGGATAAATAACGAGGCATGGAATTATTGGGTCCAGTTGATTTTTGACAGGCAGGAATAGGGGACCACTGTGCCTAAGCAATAGTGAAACTATTTCAGATGTGTTGATGTTGTTAGGAGCCAGGATTTTCACCGTGGAAATATGGAATGAGGGAAGGCAAGAAAGAACCATGTGAGAATGGATTGGAATAGATATAAACCCATGGTTTCTAAGGCATGTGTATGTGTGTGTATATAATTGCACATGCATACCTGCATGTATTTATGTGTGTGTATATATATGTATTTGTGTGTATGTATATGTGTATATACATGCATATATTTCCTAGCTCTATCTACCCAAAGAGCTTAGCTGCAAAGATACCTCAATAGGAATGAGTACATCTACCACCCAGATCTGGGTGTCTAATATCATTCCCCATTGAAAGGAATGAGGGTTCTTTGGAGAAATGGCTGATTCCAATGTGAAGGCAGGGTAAGTACGAGATGAGACTGAAACATCTCATCATACCAGAAAGTAAGATAGTGTTCAAAAAAAAAAAAAGAGGCACATCACCGAAATATGAGAGCCAACTTGAAGGTGCTCCCATTGGCCAAATCTGGAACAATTTGAGAAGAAAAATAATTAAGAAAAATAGCAAATTATAAACTATTAGGGGGGAAAGTAAGAATGCATAAATCCATAATGATAATGACCGAGAAAGAGAGAAGGGAGAAGGATGTATCTTCTTCACAATAGAACGCCATGGACTGACTGGTAAGTGTGGAAGGAGTGCTGAAATTGGAAAATCATCACTTTTTAACCATCACAGTAAATATTGGCTCAGTCAAGAATGATCAATGGATGCTAAAGCTAGGAGCAGGTTATTAGTTCGTCTTAAATATCTCCTCCCAGATTGCTTATTATTGTTGAGGAGAAAGACTTTTCCTCTACGGTTCAAAGGTTCTTTCGTCTGGTCTAATAATCAAATAGACATGAGTCAGAGTAATAGGAGAAAAACAGAGTTAATTTCATACATAAGGGGACCCCACACACATGAGAGGTTTGAAGATAGACAAGTAAAATGAAGTATACATGCCATCTCCAGCCAAGCAATGGGATAGGGACCAGGGGCTTCAGAGGACAGGAGGGTAACTCTCAGGACAAGGCAATAAGAAGAGCAGATGTGCAATAATTAGAGGCCTGCCCTGCCATACAGATAGGTCATTCAAATTTATTTCTGGTAATAACTCTCATTATGGGCAGGGTCCCAATTTAAATGATTTAGCGGAGAGGTAAAAGATCCTCGTGAGCCCACAGGGTCTCGATTGCCTTTAGCTCAAAATAATCCACATGCCAAAGTGGCACATCCTGGGGAGGCCTGTCCTGAACCCTTTCATTACTTACAAGTGAAAAAATAGTAACTATGCAGTGGAAAAATTGAACAATCTCTTGACTGAGTAATCAAAATTAACCTGACCCATGAAGGGTGGATGAGCAACACGCGCCTTCAAATGTGATACTCTGAAAAGGAAGCGACATCACTTGTGTAGTCATCTGGCCTGGAATCCATATCTGGATCTAATCATGAGGAAACACCAGACAAATTCCAAATGAAGAATGTTCTATTAAAAAACGGGAGGGGGTGTTGCTTGAATTCTTCAAAAATGTCAATGTCATAGAAGACAAAGGAAGGCTCTGTGGAAACGTTCCAGATTAAATTATACTAAAAATACATGACAACTAAATACAGTAAGTGATCCTAGATGAGATCTTGTTATAGAGGTAAAATAAATGCTCCAGAGGACGATATTAGGTTAATTGGCAAATTGAAATAGACATGGTAAATTAGATTAGAAATATACTGTAATTATGTAAGAGAATCTCCCTATTCTTTGGAAATATCCACTGAGGTATTTTGGGGTAATGGGCCATAACGAATGCATTGTACTCTCAAAAAATTCAGAAAAAAGTATTCTGTGTGTCTGTGTGTGTGTGTGTGTGTGTGTATGTTACACACATTACGTACATACATAAAGACAGCAATGGAAAAAGCAAATGGGGTAAAATTTAATAATAGATGAATCCTGGGAAAAGCTACATGTGTCTTATTTGAATTAATCTGATTGTTGCAACTTTTCTGCAAGGTTGAAGTTATTCCAAATAAAAGTTTTTTAAAAAGCTGCCCTGGTCAAGTCCTTCTCTCACTGTGGGCATTCAGTCAACACATGTCTGGGGGGGCGTCATAACTGAGGTGTGGTTTTCTATTTATTTTTTGGCTCCCCAGGTAAACCCACAAAAAGGAGAGTTTAAAAACTGTGGTGCTATTTTTAAAAGTTTGTGGTCACATGACTTGCTATAAAATGTATTCCTCAATCAATATAATTGCTTTACAAAAATTGTGGGTCCTTTTTGTTTTCACAACAGGAAAAGTGGAACCACACTGATAATGAGGAACCAAACAATCATTTAGACAGGGGACACACGTTGCTAGATTTGAAAAAGATTTTCAAGCAAGCAGAAGAGGGTAGGGGTAAGGGGGGAACTGGAGTTCCACAGTATTCAAAAACAGTCTCAGAAAATAACTTTGATTCTGCAGATCTTTTCGATGTAACGTGGTCGTTAAGAGCAGTCAGACTGCCCAGTTCAAATTCCAATTCGCTACTTACTAGCTGTGTGTCATTGGGCAAGTGGGTTACTTCTCCTCTTTGCCCCTCAGTTCCTTTATCCGTAAAAATGGAGATAATGGAATATACCTTAAAGAGTTGTAAAGAATAACTAAGTTTGTATATGTGAAGGACTTAGAACAGTGCCTGGCACAGAAAAAGCATTATACAAGTGTCTTTTGTTATTATTCTTTATTTAATAATATACATGATGTTCAAATAGATCATTTTTATGCCTCAAAACAGACCTTTATAAGATCTCAGAGCTGTTGATGTTGATTTGCACACCAAGTGACTAAATTTATTAAGAATGTTATTTACACAAAAATAAAAACAATTGAGAAATCTACAAAGAGGAATCCGTAGGAAAGCCAACAACCATTGCTACATAACTCTGCTAATCTAAGCAACTTCTAAAAATGGCAATTGGTGAAACTTCTAAAAATGGCAATTGGTGATTATCTACTCTAACACAAATAAGGTCTTAAGAAATACGTCTACTCCCCAAAGGATGAGCAACTTACCTGATCTCAGTTAGACAGCGATTGGGGCTGGAATTGCCTCAAATGGTCTCCTAAGTGCTGAGAGATTTTCAGGAATTTAGCAAGCCGGTTGTTAAACAATTGGTAGCTTAAAATCAGCCATGATAGAAGAATTTACACCACCAGAGGTCAAAACACAACCAATTAGGGCTTTGGTTCTTGAGGAGCTGGTTGTAAACACTTGTTGGCACACCACTGACTAGAGGTAGCATCATTCTTGGATTTTATCAATGAAAATCTTAGCTTCATGTTGACCATAATATTTCTAATTTTGGACTAAAGACTTCCTTTCCAAGTTCTTAAAAAGTCACTCCTGTTTAGCTTTTAGGACGATTTCTTCTAAACCAGGTTGTACCTCTCCAAATACAGCTGTACATTAAAATCATCTGCAAGTTTTTAAACATCCCAATAGCAAGATTGTACCACAGACCCATTGAGTCTACGCTATGGGTGATGGATGAGACTGGGTTCTCAGTATTTTTCTTAAAACAACCCCATGTGATTCCAGTGTGTGGCCAGTTTGAGAACCCATTGTGCCAAAGTCTTCCAAAGTTAGAAATTTAATGTGGGCTATTTTCATTTGATGTCAATGAAAATGGAGTGGAAGGTCATCAAAGTCAGGGGTACCAAATGTCTCCAACGTCACACTAAGTAACAGTGGGCAGTCAAAATACTACCATAAAATCAACACAGATGTAATCAAGTCCTGTGTTAGGGAAGTAAGTGTTTACCTCTTATCTTTGTTATTTCCCCAGGAGGTGACACAAGTGGCCATTATCCATGACATATGGAAAAGCGAAGGTTTAAAAACAGCAAAATGTGGATCAACAGGAAAAACAAAGCCACAAAATAATGCTAAACCTCTGCAAAATATAAATCATCTTTCAGGAGAATTTAGAAAGTAAGTTCAAATTACTCAAAAAATGTAGCATGGGACTAAGTTTTGAAATAGTATTTCCTACATTTTCTATCTATTAAAAAAAAATCAGTGTTGGAATGCAAAATTTTTAGGTCCCAGTTATATGCATCGGGATTTTGGCACTATCTTTGAAACATAAGAGCGCCTGTTTAGCTAACTGACTGTTGTGCAACGATTTTAATTGGTCTGGTGGTATAAAGTGAATATCCCAGTAGCTCCAAGGATTGATGCTTCTACAGCTAAAGGGTTTTGAAAACTAGATCTGTGGCAAGTCTAAGTTTCACATTCCATTAAGAAGACCAAATAATATCATTCCCTCGTTGGAATCTCAGATGAACGTGAATTTTTGCACAATCTTGCATTTGGCATTATAGTACTATTATTCTTGATCTTCTATAATTGCCTTTTTTTCAGATTATTAATGCATCATTAATGCATGTAAATTGCATTAAATAAGTTAAATAATGTAGAGTGAGTTGACAAGAGAGTTCAGTTTTAGGATTTCCAAAATAAATCATCAGTGGGCTTGTGTTTCCTCAATGTAATTTGGCAGCTGGGGAATACTTACTGTGCCGACAGCCAGCACGAATTTAGATTTGTATTAAAACCTGTCTTGTAATATGGCGCATTGTATTCATTGCAGCACCATCTCCCTCAGCTAGATTGCGTGCTGTTGAAGGTGAGGACACATCCTAAGCCACTTCGTGTCCATGAAATTTTCCAAGAAAAGTGCTAGTTTGCAGCAACTACTGATTGAATTCCTGACTGACGTGGGAAGGTGCAGAGCATCTATTGCCTATTTCATGCATTAGGGAGTATGCATAGGATGGGATGGGGAATATAAATTTAATATAAATATAATAGCAAG